CACTTTTTTATACTCAGTATGCCAGTCACTTCTGGACCATATTTCGCTGGTCCTCAGTTTGCCAGTCGCAGTCACTTCCAGTCCATGGCTTGCCAGTCCTTGATCTGAAAAGGTTGGGAAACCCTATTTTAAGTAAAATCCATACCGAAAGCGGTACAGGGAGGGCACACAGAAGCCACACATCAAATTTAATAATAAACAAATACATCACAAGAATGCAAGCAAGGCAAATTAAGAAAAAAAAAATATTAAGAAAGTAGAAAACGAGTCACGGTTTAAACTGTCGGCTGGGGAAGCCAAAGATAAGCTAGAATGAAAACTACAAGAAAAAGGCAGGTTACTCCTTAAATGTAATTTCAAATGGAATATTTTGTTCTCACAGAGAACATCGACAGCCATTGCTTTCCAAAGAGTTCCTTACTTCAGTGCCAAGAACATATTCACTCTCCAAAAGTGGGGTCCCATGACAATAATCCAAAGAGAACAAGTAGTTTCATATGACTGTATCAATACTGAACATCATAAAGCTTCTTCTGCTAAAAGCTGGAATTGGAGACTGCTCTCTGTCTCTTTTTTTTTAAAAAGGAAATTCCCAAATCTTGCTGCTATTTGCTTATGGTATCATCAAAACACCACATAAGAACATTTAATTTCAGAAAGACAGACAATGAACATGAATGGAAACCACTACAGTAAAAATAATTTAAAATAAAAAATGCAGGTCCCTAGAAACTTATGGGGCCAAAATCTAAATATACTTCAATTCTTAATCTAGATCACTAATCTTTACCTTAAATACTTTAAAATACTCTGGTAGTACAGAAGCAAACTTTCTGATTGTGTAGACCTTGGCTTCTTCATTTTGATTAAGTGCTTTGTGTATACTTCTCCAGAGAATTACAGTAATCTCAAGTAAACTTGCCATGGAAGTTGCATCGTTTATTGACAACACATTATTCAGCACCTGTAACGCAAACATTTTGAGATTAAAATAACTAATACGGTCTAATATGAACGCAGATTAAAATTAAGTTAAAAACTGAAAAATCTCATCTACATTCTTCACAAGAAAACCATTGCAACAGTAAGGAAATGTAAATTTTACAGTTCATATTTAATCTGTACACAAATCCATTCATTACGCTAGACTCACACTTGAGTACATTTTATTGCAAAATCCTGTATAGCATACTTAAAATAACCACTGGTATGAAACAAGCAGCCATTTTAAGTATGGCTTGGATGCCTCCTAGCTTGCGCTGCTTCTTGACTAACCTACCACTCTTTCTGATCCTGCAGGATCCTGACAGCCACATACTTCCGCATCCCTATCTCCAGAGAAGCCCATATGTTCCTTTCTAACATTACCATTCTCCTTCGTGTTACTTTTTGACTACCATAATATCATATACTCTAAATATATGGCCACGAAAATTAGGGAAACTAGTCCATTTGGGGGATACTAATCACCGCAGCATTGACAGAGCTGTGTACTTAAACCAGCTGAGCTTACAGTGCTGTGTACTTATTGTCTCAAAACTGATTAGCAACTGTTCATGTTTAAAGTTTCTATTACCCGCCACAACAGTGACTGTCATAAGCCTTGAAAATGAGGGGAGTTAGTTAATTCCTACATTGCTAATATCACAGCCTTGTTAACAAAGCTCCTTGAACTACACCCTGACATTAGTGCTGTGGTATTAACAGATCCAAAACTGATTAGGACCCTTCATTTTCAAGGATTCTAAGAGCTGCTTCTGCCTTCACCATTCCTCATTCAGTTAAATGGTACATAATTAGTTACAAAATGGACAATTACGGTTAGCATGCAGTTAACCAGAGTACAACTAAGTTGCAAGAAGATGTTGGGGCTGAAAGATGCTATGCACTTCAGTGGTTTATGTGCACTTAAGTACTCTGCAAATAAACAGAATTTGTTACAATATACACAACAGCAAACACACTGGGCCCAGGATTGCATTAGGAGTTAAGTAAACAATGTACTTATTCAGTATGCACAGAAAGTTATTAGAGATTAGCACAAAATGGAAGTTTTGTTGAGACTTTCTTACACTTATGTTCTCCTTTTCACTTTCTTCATCTTTGTCATCATCACTTTGATTCTCTTTTGACCTTTGGATGCAGGCATTTAAGCAACGCCGAATAGTGAGCATCAATTTGGCTAAATTAAAAACAAAGCAAAGAAAAAGAGTAATTTAGACATTTGAAGCATTTGTCCAGGCAATGATTATTATATGTAATGATAAAACTGTTCTGGGGAGGTAGAGATATGACCCAGACACAGTTATCTAGACAATTCTTTTTAAAGTACATTTACTGTATTTAGTTGTGGAGGGGAAAAAAAAAGTGTGTGTGTGGGGAGGAGGGGGCCCTGCGTAACCATCAGCCTCTATTTCCCAATACCGTATTTACTCAATTCTAAGATGAGGTGTCTGCCCCACCTATTCATCATGGGGAAAACAAAGCCTAATCTTAGAACTGAGTATCACAGCTGGGAGAAACAGCTCTATAGGGACTCTGGGGCTCCACCTGTCCCCAGATCAGCAGGGGAAGCAGCCAAACTGGGTAAATGGTAGAGTGGTAGTCACCAAGGGGACAAGGGATGATGGGCAGGATGCCTGCACCTCACATGTGCTTTCCCCTTGCCTCTGCTTCCCTCCACAGCCCCTGCCTACCCTGCTACTTTCTCCTGCTTTTGCTTTCATCCCCGCCTGCTTCCTCACCACAGCCGCAGGGGGACAAATTTAAGACAACCCCTCAATAAGTAGATTCTAGACATGAAAAATTATAAATATGCTATCATTTTCTATGTCTAGAATCTAATTGCTGGGACATCATCTTAACTTCAAAGTCATCTTAGATTACGGTAAATACAGTAGTTAGAAAATACCTAAACCCTTTTGTAAAAAGTAAGGATCAATGGAGGTGACTGATTTTTTCTGAAATGGCTGTTAATTTAATGGACTATGCTCCAAATGCTGTGGATTTATGTCAAGGATAGCATCATTTATGAAAAGTTGTGTTTGTCTTATTGACTCAGGAGCCCCTTTTCAGATCCAAGGTGTCAGAAAAAATTTCACTTACACAGACAAAATGAACTTGTGAATGTAGCACATGCTTGAAGAGGCTTGAATCCAACAACCAAAGTGCAAGCCTGTTACAAGCTTAGGTAGTTTAAGACATCACAATCACACCTTCATTTTCTGCGCAGACACACCCTCAGCAACCAAACATTCACTGCTCTCTTGAGGATATGTATATGTATAGGGACTGCTCCTTGGGAAATCTCCTGAGCCTGGAGTTCTTTTGTAGTTTCCTTGTTTATTTCTGGAATGACAGACTCCTAGAAAAATAGCTTTGTTTTTTCATGTGGTGGGATGAATTCAATAACATATTTGCTAAAAGATGTAATGTCTTGTGATGTATCTTATCAACACTTCAGAGCCAAAACTATTTTCACTGGAAGAATTTTGGAAGAATTTTTCTGGAAAGAATTCTATAGAGCTAACAAATGGGCAATTGCAATAGCCTATTAGTCTGGGATAATATCAAGTTATTTTGACCTATATAGCACCTTCCACACTAATGTATTGAATTTCATTAAATCCTTTATTTTACAGAACAGGATACTTGGATACAGAAGTCAACCTTTCCAACCTCTGTCTTCCCTTCAGCAGAAGATAAAGCAGTCATGTTGACAGATGCACTACAACAGCTGAGAACAGCATCCCAATGAGCTTTGGGATCTCCAGCACTATTAAAGCACAAAGAGCTGACTACTATCACTAGGGTTCAATGCAGTTTTATATTTGGTGTAGGAATGTTATTTACTGGTGTCAAGAACTTCTAAAGTTGAAACTTGGAAGCTCTCTGCTAATAACGAGCTAAAACCAATGCTCCAACAGCAATCTACTACTGCTAAAAACTATGATAAAAATTAGGCCAGTGGTCCCCAACTGGTTGACTGGGGAGCCTCTTTTAGTCGATCCTGGCCTGGGGGGACTGGATGTGTGCACGCATGTGTGCGCCCCCCCCCCCACTCCCTCAGCCCAGCAGGTCAGTCTGGGGGAAGGCAGGTACAGGAGCCAGATCGAGGACCCGCAGGGAGGGAGGGAGATGCGGTCCAGCCAGGAGCAGGGGAAGGTAAGTGGGGCCCCAGCCCGGCTGGGTGATGGGAGGACTGGAGCCCAGGGGGTCATCCAAGGATGGTGGGCTACCCACCGCTGGGTACAGCCCGGAGGAGGCCCTGGGGGCACATGACCCCCGCATCTCTGTGTGGGATGGAAGCAGCTGCTGCTATGCCTCAAGCTCCACTGCAGCTGGCCACGTGTGGGCACGGCTCAGCCCAACAGCAAGATGCACTTGGTGTCTGGCCGCTCCCAGGCCAGCTGCAGTAGGGCTCAGGACACAAAACTCAGCCCACAGCAGCAGCTGCTTCCGCTGCACACAGATTGGGGGGTGGGGCACATGCCCCCCCCAAACGCAGAGCAGCATGGGCGGCTACAGCAGTGGTGACAGAGGGAGTGGGGCTGACGCAGGGGCAGCTGGGGTGGGGCAGGACAGAACCACAAGTGACTCATCTGGGGGACACAGGGAGGGGGAGGCACACACCCCGGGAGAGCACGGGGGGCACGTGCCCCCAGATCTGCATGTGGGGTGGGCTGCAGCTGTGGGCTGGGCTCTTCCCAGCATCAGGGCTAGTCCGTGCTGTGCTCAGGCTGGGTAGCAGCAGCACTGGAAGCAGGGCTCCAGGGGTTGGGGGAGAGAGGCGGGCTGCAGCTACCCAAAAATTTGCTAAAGGCCCCCTAACCTTCGCTCTCAGGCTTGCTGCCGCCGCCTGCCCCGAGCACAGCATGGACCAGCCCCGCCCCCCCCCACGCCAGGTACAGCCCAGCACAGCCTTCCACTGCCCCTTCCCTCCTCACCTGAGGGAATGGGGGGCATGTACCCAGGATCTGCACAAGGTGGGGCAGCTGCCACTGCGGGCTGGGAGGCTGCACTAGGTTGTTCCTGCTGGAGGCTGGGCTGCGCTGCACTCCGAGTGGACAATGGTGGCACTGGGAGTGGGGGTTGAGGGGGCTACAGTGAATTTTCAGATGGCTGCAGCCCTGCTCCCATTGCTGCTGCTGTCCAGCCCAAGAACAGTGTGGGTCAGCTCCCCCACCCAGGAAAAGCCCAGCCCCAGCCGCAACCCACCCCGTGTGCTGATCTGGGGCCATGCAACCTCCATGCCCTGCCAGGGTGTGTGCCCCCCTCTCCCTGTCCCCCTGGACTAGCCACTCACGGCTCCCTCCTGCCCCTGCTCCAGCCCCACTCCCTCCCTCACTGCAGTTGGGGTGGGGGCAGATTGAGGCCCCAGCAGTGAGGGAGGGAGTGGGGCTAAGGCTGGGGCCTTGATCTGCCCTGCCTCCCTTCGACCCTTTCCCCCACAACAGACTTACCTGCTGCGGGGGTGTGCCCCCAAATAATTTTTTCTCCTTCTGCCTTGATCTGCCCCCTTCCCTCCCCACAGACTTACCTGCTCATGGGGGGTGAGGGCTGGCAGTAGATCTTGGGTTGCTTTTAAATTCCAAAAGTGGTCTCCTACTTAAAAAGGTTGGAGACCACTGAATTAGGCTATACTTAATGAAGATTGCCAAGAATTATTATAGTATGCAGTACTTTACCTATGTTGGTAGGGGCTGTGTACTCATAAGCATACTGGTAGAATTTTCTGGCCGCTGCCGAATTCATCTGAATTAGCGTAACACAACGTTCACACCACACCTCCTCAGGTTGATTAACAGGCAAGAAAGAGTTGAACAGGAGATTTACTATACGCCGTGATACTGGACGTGAATCAACTTCAAGGCGGGTCAAAAGATGGTCCATGGGACAGATTTTCCAGAACTTTTTTTTTTTTTTTTTAAAGAGGAGAGAAGGAGAATGAAGTTAGAGTAGAGAAAGCAAGAGACAAAGAAACAAGCTATGACAAGTATATTTTGAAGAGTATTGGTTAATACTGGGTGTATCTACATGTGCTCTTAAGTTGGCACTGGAGCTAACTGGTCCTGGGCACAGCATCTACACGTGCGCCTAGGACTGCAGCAAGTGGAGCCAGGGAGAAGCAGCCCCAGGCTTCATGCTGCAGAGAGGCTGGCAGGAGCTATAAGTCTGGCTCCCCAGCTGGCTGAGCTGACCAGGAGCAATTTGTGCCTGAAGGTCTCCATCCACATGAGTGTTTGATCAGAATTAATTACTCCACCATAAGATAGCACTGTCCCGACAATAGTATGTTACAGCCAAGTTAGTTAATTTACTGCACCCATGTGGATGATGATGTTTTACTGTGGAACTAATTTGTCAACTCCGCAGTAAAGCGCATGTGTAGATGAACCCATTGACTATGAACAAAACTAATCACTGCATGGACTAGCATTTGTTTTTTAATGAAATGCTAATATCCACTACAAGCAACAGCAAACAGTACTTCATATCTACCATGAAGGGCCACAGCCTGCAGAGCTTCCCCATGAACCCATGGACTGGATGACATGGTGCTAGGGGCCAGATCTTGCCCGCAAGCTGGGATTTGAGCATCCCTTCACTAGAATAATGAAAAGATCAGAGTATATTTTTGCCAACTAACAACATTTAAATCAAATATTTGGGTTTTTTTCTACTTTATAGATCCAGTTTATTGAAAGATCAGAGTATGACTATAGGCACTTATCATCTAAGTCACATTTTCACTGCCATCCTGGAAACTTTTTGATGTTATAACTTTGGTGTACTGTCACCCCCACTACAGGGCAGGGGGGATGCAGGAGCAGCTGTGAAGTTGCAAACTGTTGCTGAAAGTATGGCTGGCAAAAACCTTTAAAAATGAGAAAAAAACCCTATGAAAATGATGCACACATCGAACATACACCTTACCTTTACAGCTTGACATTTACCCTAGTGTATGTGTGAGCCTGCATGCAATCCCCCTCCCCACCTCTTTCTTTCTTTTTTAAAGACAACTAATCCCTTGAAATTCCATCACTGGCAACACCTGGGTAATCCATAGGGCTGCCCGTCAAGATCTGCTGTTTAGATCTCTTGACATTTATGCTAACAGTGTTAATAACAGCAATTAGGAGGTTGTCATCTTCTCGGAGGACCACCAGTAGAAGGAATAAGACGCTCTGGCTGAGGGTTTCTATGAGTGGTAAAACTCAGACATTTTCCAGAATTTTCCAGGATCTAGAGGCAATTGAGTTCTAGTGGCACAGGCTCCAATGCCCATTCCCTTCCTACATGATCCTTTCCCCAAACCTGTCTCCTTAGTATACAGAGAGCTTAAAATATGTGCCAACAGAAATCTAATAATGCACAGCAGGAGAAAGAGGAGACCTCTTATGCTCTATTGCAACTGTGCAATATATTTGTGACAAGTATTGCACTAATTATTTTATCATTTAAGAAAAGGATCATCTTGTATCGCTTCCTATTCCATTTGCTCAATTTCTCTCCCTCTTCCTTGTACCTTTATACATTCTTGTGTGTAGCTTGGCTCCTTTCTCCCCTGATCTGATATTCTTTTTATATTAGTGACCCTGCCCACTTTCTTTTCCTGGCAGCTCTGTTCCCTTAATGCTGGTTGTCTCTCTCATAAGTAACAGCTGCCCCAATGGAAAAGTTCAAAATGAAAATACTGAAACACAACCTCTCTCTTCCTTTTAGGAATACTGTATTCATAAATATATAATCTTCACAATAAATGCTTTGTTCTATTTATATCTCCTACTTGCTGTCTCAGAAGTCCTACTTATCCTACCTTCGCAGCCCTGGCAGCCTTAATTTTCAGCAGCATATCAACAAAAGCCACTCGCACTTTCTCAGAATTGTCATGGAGACTGTATTTTACTGCTGGCAGGAGCTGCTCCAGTAATGGGTGGCTCAGTGCATTCTCCAAAATTATAGGCAGACACTGCAACAGAGAAAGATCACACTGAATAAAAATATGAAAAGAACAGACATGCATAACTTGGAACTAAAAGTGATAGAAATTACTGAACTAGAACATTACACTTATAAGGCTAAATAAAAAAGTGGCAGTTGTGTTTACATTCTTTGCTAAAATAGTCAAATCAAGGTGTTAAAAGAACAATTCAAGCTCTTGAATGAATTGCTTTCATTTAAATAAAGGGGTCTACATTTAAGATTTTTTTTGCACTTGAACAGCGCTTTTGTTCAAGACTTGAATCTGAAGATCACCCTGATGCCTGGGAAGTCCACCTTGCTGGCATTTCAGAGGCAGAAGAGCTGGGATGTTGGTCAACCAAGCAGGGAATGGCCTTTCCAGAGACAGGAATCACATAGTAGGTATGCACAGGCAAACCTAAAAAGGTCTATAAAATGTGCAAAATATACCACTTAAATCACACTATACCACTTATTCTTTCTTGTTGTGATGCCATAGGAAAAATGTTGGATGCCATAGAAAAAAAGTGATGCCATAGACGTGCCATAGAAAAAAGCCATAGAATAAAAGCTAGAACCAGTTTCTACAGTTGTTGGATAAAATATACCTTTTATTTTAGCTTTCTAAAATTATCTAGACAAAGTCTGGTCAAAACATCAAGCAAAGACCATGGTCCTTAAATCTTTAGCTCCACAGAAAAACAGGAACCAAGATAACTGGATGTCACAAAGCCTCTCAGTCTTTGCTTCCAATACTCAGTGCTGGAAGTATTTTATTTTTCTGCTTTTTTCAAAATATTATACAAGTGTCACTCAAAGTAATGCCCCCTGTCTTTTTTCCCCCCTCAGCCAAATGTTACTGAAAAAATACTGGAAAATACTGCATGGAAAATCTGTAGATCATCACTGAATCTACAGCTATTTTTCAGCATAGCCTCCTTCTCAGTCAACAGACTTTTTCCATTGGTGAACAAGGGCAGGCATCCTAACATAGTAAAAGTCCTTGTTGTACAGCCTCCATCACTTGGCTATCATCCCTGACCTCTCCCTTCATTCTGGAGGCTTTATGGAGGATGGGGTGGCACAGCTCATCCGAACAAGATACTGCTTGTGTAGTGCACAAGCTGGTGTGTGGGCAAGGGTTCTGTAGAAGCAGCATCTCTGACATGCCCATTGTTTCCTTGCAAATCATGTTTCAGTTTTTTCAGGGTTCCGACATAGATCTCCAATTTTACTATGGTTCTTTTAGGCACAAAGTCAACAAAAACAACTTCCATAACCCTGGCTTACTCAGAATATAAAAATTAAGAGACATTACTTTCTGACCAACCCTCATACGTCTTATAAGACAAATTATGTAAAGACCAACTTAGAGACCTCATTTTAAACAAGCAGTAATCCATCTTAGGCTGGCCTCCATTAATGAGCCCAAGTTACAAGAAAAGCAGGAGTTAGTATCAAGACATTTTATAAAATTTGCACAATAGCCTTACCTTAAAAACTGAGCAACGAACATCAGCTGAAGTTACATCAAAAGCCAGGTCTGCAATTAGCTTATTTAAAAGGTCAGCAATAATTGGTGCAGGTATCATCTCCCAGTATTTGGATGTTATTTTACTAACGCCAAGTACCCCTATAGAGCGAACCAATGGATGCGGATCTTCTAACAGATTCTAAGTAAACAGAAAGGAGAAAAAAAGGAAAAATATTTTATGCATGCATTATTTTGCTTTCTGATAATAATTAAAATAAGATATACTGATAAAGCTCATCCCATAAGCCTTTAAGCAATGTTATTCAAGGTGTATTATGTAATAGTACCATATGCAGGCTGGTGTCCCAAGAGGACTTTAAAATGTTGTGTTTGTTTACTAATAGCAATAATTTGAAAACAAAATGAAAATTAAAAATATTGGCCTGTACTGTAAAATAAATAAATAAATAATCATCCAAAAGTCGGACTTTAAAGGATATTTTAAAAGTGCCCTGCTCAAAAGTCAAAATGGTATCTTTGAGTTTAGGCATTTCTGAAAATTTAACCTATATAGTCATATTTAGGTATGTAATTAGGCATCAGTCCTCTCTGGTCATGAAGAGAATTTTAGTTACCAGATATTTAGCTTCAAAATCATTATATTAAGTGCTTTTCCAAACAGAGACAGTCTAGAAATGAGCCAGGCCCATCTAAATTTCGAATGCATGATTTTAATTCTCCTTATATCTCTGTTCAAACATATCATCATAATAATAGAACTGCAAATATTTAAGATTGAGCATTCACTGAAGATTTTGTACCATTAAAGCCCTCTTCACCCATTAGCCTAAACTGTATGTCTTCAGCTTGTGTCATCTGGTCTGTCCAAACAATCTCCTGGGTTTTTCAACTGTATTGTTAATTCACTCATTAAATACTTAATTTTCAGGCCATTCTCCTCCGCCAAACCGTTCTATACCACTAGTAGATGGTACACTAATATGCCTCTACATGAAAGAATATGCATAATTAAAAGAATATAATGGCATAGTTCTGGGATTAATTTAACTGACGTGCAAGTATTACAAATTACTTTTCTTCTGAGCATGTTTCACTAAAAGTTTAACTTAACACTTTGTTACAACATTCGGACTTCTTCAGAAACTTACAAAAAGTTCTTCAAAGTGTTTCTGCATATCATTATCCATCTCCTCGTTGTTAAAGTGGGGATCACGGATAGGAAATGCTTCAACAAACAACAATGCTGCATTTGATCGAACTTCTGAGTTTCTAGCCTGTTACAAGGGAGAAAAAAAATTGTGTAGGAAGACGATGCTCTTAATATCAAAACTCATTTACCACATACACTCTTCAATCACCTTTATCAGCTTATTAATTCTAATTGAGACAAATTAACTATTAAACATACGAAAAAATATAGTATCTAATATTCCAAATGAGAAAGTGTGAGCATTAGCTCCAAAAGTTTTATTATTAAACAAAAACTATAATAACCAGACCAGAATAAAATTTATATAAATTTTTTCCTGTCTCATCATAATACCAAAATCTCTCCAAGACAGAAACCCCTAGGCACTATACAGACACAGATCCTAGAAAGTTTACAGCCTAAGATGAGACAGAAAAGAAGCCAGAATGCATGCAGAGGAGGAAGTACAGGGTCAGCAGGACAGTATTCCAAGCACACCTGGCCTCATGCTTTTTTTTCCCCTGTAGATAACATAGCAAAGGGAAGTTTTAAGGAGGGTTTTGAAGAAGGTTATTAAGACAGGTTTGAAGCTGTTTAGGGAGAGTTCCTCTAAGCAAGTGGCTTAGCAGGGGAGAAAATATAAAGATGTTTATTTAACAATTCCATAAGCTAGCACTGAAAACTAGTATTAGAGTATAAGTGGAGGCAAAATTTGATGCATCCCTGGTTAATAAGAACTGACTGGTAAAGCTGGACAAGGCTGCAAGGACCAGGAAAACAAATATTTATGGCTTATTTTGCTGCATTAGAGAAAGAAGCAGAAGAGTGATACAACAATTGTTTACAATAAATACAATATGATAATATACCTTAAATGCGAATTACCTTTAATGCTCTCCAAAGTATAGGTTGATATAATCTATACAGCATTTCTTCAACTCCCTCACGAACTTTACTTTGTTTGTGAAAATAGCTCAGCACCTGTCAAAAATAAAAAGCTAATGGTATATTTCATATGGTAGAGTCAAAATATTTGAATAAGGCAGTTTGTCTCTATTCCATGATATCTTATACAGGACACCAATGATTTTTAGATTATATAGACAGAATGATATAGAGAAGATACATTCATTTATTACTGGGTCAGCTGCTGTATTTAAAAGGCTCT